ATAACTTGGAATGGACTCAGTGACAGTGGTTTACTGTCACACAATAGTTAATTACAATGTGGACAATGCAATTACTTAGATTAATTGCATGCTATTATAACTCCACCCAGAAGAAAACAAAACACTTAATTTCAAAGCCAGAAGAAAATAAAAAAGTTTAAATTATTAAACCTATATTGTTATTGTTGTTGTTGCTGTTAAGTGGCATTGGGTCAGTACCAACTCATAACAACCCTGTACATAGGGTTTCTGAGGAGCACATGGTGAATTTGAACTGCTGACCTTGCGTTTCAAACCGACCTTACAAAGAAATTAGATAAGCTAACCAGTATTTTCATTTAATGATTGTTAAGCATTAAATAAAATTCTGTGTAGGAAGTGAAATTAAACTACAAGTTTGTAACATAAGATTTGGACATATTCATATGACTTAAAGGAGTCCTGGCGTGGATGTGGAGAGACTGGGACACGCTTGCATTGCTGGTGGGACTGAAAAATGGTCCAACCTCTCTGGAAATCAATATGGCGCTTCCTCAGAAGGTTGAAAACAGAAATACCTTATGATCCAGCAATTCCTCTACTTGGTATTTACCCACAAGAAAAACAAGCCACAACATGAGAAGATATGTGCACACCAATGTTTATAGCGGCACTATTTACAATAGCAAAAAGATGGAGACAGCCAAAGTGCCCATCAACTGAAGAATGGATAAACAAATTGTGGTATATACACACAATGGAATATTATGCTACCTTGAAGAATAACATGGAGGCTGCAAGCTACCGAATAATATGGATGAACCTTGAGAACATTTTGTTGAGTGAAATTGTTGTTGTTGTTAAGTGCCATCGAGTCGGTTCCAACCCATAGCGACCCTGCACAGGGTTTCTGAGGCTATAAATCTTTACGAGAGCAGAAAGCCTCATCTTTTTCCCGCGGAGCAGCTGGTAGTTTCGAACTGCTGACCTTGTGGTTCGCAGCCCGATTCGTAACCACTACGCTACCAGAGCGTGAGTGAAATTAGTCAGTCACAAAATGAGAAATTCTGCATAGGAGCACTACTGTAAAAGACTAAGAAAAAGAACTCATACTAAAGGGGGGAAAAGGGATTCTTTGCTGGCTACTGGGATATGGGGGGTGGGGTGAGGGAAGGGAGGGGAAGGTGAGTACAGGGTAGGGAATAGACACAGGATAGTTTGGGTGATAGGGAGGGGGCAATATATAAGAAGGGGGAGGGGAATGGAAGAACAAAGTGAATGGGAGAACAATTAGGCAGGTTTGCATGGGCTAAGTGGGACAGAGGTAAATAATGATGTATACACAACCTTGGAACAACAGGGCTCTGGGATACAGGGATTGAGACATGCCTGGAATGGGCAAAAGGGGGGAAATAATGTTAAGATGCTTGGCTGTCTTTTGAATTTTGGTTTCCCTGGAATACCACTATAAAATAGACACTTGAGGGGGAGAGAAAGAAATAGCCAGAAGTATCACCACAGAAAGCTTGGAAGTCTGTCTTCTGCCTATAACTGATTGTTGTTGTTAAGTGCCGTTGAGTCGGTTCCGACCCGTAGCGACCCTGAACAGGGTTTCCGAGGCCATAAATCTTTACGGTAGCAGAAAGCCTCATCTTTCTCCCACGGATCAGCTGGTAGTTTCAAACTGCTGACCTTGCAGTTCGCAGCCCGATTCGTAACCACCATGCTACCAGAGCTCCTTTGGAATACCTAAAATGGGGCTACAACGTGCCTAGTGAAGGAGGCTTCCTGTGGAGACTCTGCATTACATAAGACCATAAGTGGAATCCTAAACAGCAACCAGAATCTTCAGAGGAGGGAAATTTCCACTTGAAAGGACAAGCAGACCAGCCTGGAGCAGCTAAAAGAACAGAAGATACTTCTTGAAAGAAAGACCCACAGGAAAAATACAAAACAATAAAGGCAGATCGACTGATTACTACAAGAACAAGCAAGTTGCTCACCCAGGAGACATGAAGGCAAGTGGTCGGGTCCCCTCAGAGCAAATCCCCTTTCAAGACTAAGACTCAATGGGAATACACGCTCTGATTGGTGACCACATTTATCACCGATAAGAGGAACTGAGGGCACACAGCAATGAAGCTGCAAGCTAAGCCCTACAGTGTTCAACAGATTCCTGTGAACCCGCGTGGAGACCTGGTTGGCCAGCAGTATGGCAAGACCTGAGGACTCCTGGGCCCAGAGTCAGTGACATAGCCACAGAGGACTAGAGTGGAGAGTGAAGCGTCTAGCTAATAAGAAGAGAGGGAATATGCACACACTTGCAGATAATACCCACTTGACCTGGCTTCAATGACTGGATGATCAGAGTTCAACTAGAAGAAGAAAGAAGAGGTGAAAAAAGAGTAATCTGATACAATTTGATGAACTCGACTTACACCTATTGATGCAGTAGCTCAAAAGAGGGAATGAATCTTTACAGCAAGGATCATTCCCACCCCCTCCATAGAGAAAGGGATGGGCAACTTGGACATTGGCTACCCAAAATGGGGGTGCTAAAAAGGCAAGAAGTGACTTGCTTACAAGATTTCAAGAGGGAATCTAGATCCAGAGGGTGTGGAGGAAGGTAGAATCTCCACTGAGTAGTATCCAATATGTCTGGGCGGGGCTGATGAAAGGAAATGTGGATAGGACCCTTGTGACACAATAGTGAATAATTGCTATCAGGACTGATTGTGAGGGTTGGAAATGTAAAGGTAGATGTTTTGTAGCAAGGAGGGGAGTGATTAACTTTGCAGTCTAGGAGCAGAGGTCCCTGAGACCATCAAGGGAGAAGAGCAGAGAGTGGGACTCTACTCACTGAATCAGTGACGCCAGAGATAGAGGCAGAGACGATGACATGGAGAGATGGAGCAGCTGGGGACTTTAGACACAGAGAGGGAGAGGGGCTGTGTGCTGACTACCTGTGGGCAGGCTACAGAGTGTACCCTGTGGTTGGCTGATGATGCATGGAGGGGACTGTAACCATGGCAATGAAACAATATAGGATAGGATGAATGTAAAACTAATGTTCTCTCATGTAAACTATCATATAATTCACAATAAAACATAAAAATAAAAAAAAAACTGTATGAAGGTATGTACAGAACACTCAGTATTGTGACATCCCCAAGTCACTGACAAGCACCAGCTGCCTACAACCCTAATTTAATTCACTGTCTTAGATGTGTCTGCTGACATGAGGCTCAACCTAATTTTTAACAGTTCCAGCACTATATGTGGTGGTAGTGGGTGTGTGCTGGAGAGTAGTTCCGACTCATAAGACCCTGTATAATGTTTCTGAGGCATAAATCTTTACAGGAGCAGAAAGCCTCATCTTTCTCCCTTAGAGTGCCTGGTAGATTTGATCCACTGACCTTGTGGTTAGCAGACCAACTTACCAGAGCTCCTTGTTGTTGTTATGTGCCGTGGAGTCAGTTCCGACTCATAGCGACCCTGTACAGGGTTTCCAAGGCTGTAAATCTTAACGAGAGCAGAAAGCCTCATCTTTCTCCCATGGAGCAGCCAGAGCTCCTTAGCACTACATATACCTTTAAAAACAAAACAAAACTTAATGCTATACTGCCTTCATTTCCATCCCAAAGTCTTAAGGCAAAAAACTGTGACAGAATGTGTTAATGAAGTACTCTCTGAGTGGGAGGCATTTGAGCTGAGACTTAACAGATGAGAGAAGCCAAGCAAGCATGAAGAACCAGGAGGCAGTGTCCCTGGCAGAGGGAACAAGTGCAAAGGTCCTGAGGCAAGAAGACAATCAAACAGGCTGGAACAAAATTAAACAAAAGCATGGCTGCAGATCCACAGGCACTAGGGGCCAGATTGTACAGACATAATTCATGTTTATCCCTTCCCAAGCAACTCGAAGCTCCAAGGATCAGTGAGGAGCCTGAACAAATATAACCCCAGATGCTGCTAGCAGCAGTATGGAAACACAGGGCAGGAAGGAAAGGAGGAGCTGAGCGGACACGCATATGAAGCAATATGAGAACGGCATAGGTTTGTGTTAACCTCCTAGAATTCAGTGGAAGTCAACCAGAAAGGACCAGGGTGCAAGTTGATAGAGAAGACTCGGATACTGGCCAAGAACTAATGCTGTGGGAGGAGTTGGGATTAGGCAGGCTGGGGCCAGAGCAGGTTCCTCTCCAAGCTGTGACCCAGGCAATGTTACTCCCCTTTCACCTAACCTAGGTTTCACCCTTTCCTCACCTAGGTTTCCTAAATGTGGAGTCTCACTCAGTCACCTCAAGAACCCTGCCCTCTGGCACACAATCACTGAAACTCTTGTATGGTAACAACACTGTCAAAATAGAGCTAACAAGTCCAGCCCTCTACACTGCTGATAACAGGACCCTCAAACAAGTTCTTCAACCACTTGAGCTGACAAGTTATTTCTAAGGAGTTCCAGGAGAAGAGAGCCTAATGCAGTGCTGGACTTGGAGAGCAGAGATCACAGTTTAAATATTATTTATGCCATTCACTATCTACGTTATCTTTTTAAAAAGTCATGATCACTATTTCCAACAATTGTTTGAGAATTAAATGCACTAAGGCATATCAAGGTCAGTGCCTAACCCAAGCAAATACCCAATAAAGACACAATTCATCCCATTTTTCCCATTATTGAAAGGATTCAGTTCAGACAGTCAAGCAGCTCCACTACTTATTGGCTGTGTGACTCTGAGTAAGCCACTTTCATCTCTGAGCATCAGCTTCTTAGTAAAACCAAGAGGGCATCATTTACTTCAGAATGGCGTCTGAGAGTGAGACACGTGTAATGTGCCAAACACAATTCCTTGACGCACAGAAACTAATCAGTATCCATTATCTATTATCATTGGTGGGTGTGACCAAGATAGGGAAAGGAGGGGGGCAAGTCTTCAAGCCAAGCTCAGGTTTCCGCTACTGGGCAGGCAGAGTAGCGGGTTACTGAACGGTACTTTTACAGCACCTTGGGAACCACTCACCTGGTGATTCCAAATAGAACCCTCTTTGCTGCGTTCGTCAGGGGTCAGACGCACGTACTGGCTCGTGAGCATAGTGCTACCTTGGAAGTCCCAGAGGGGCATGGAGCTGGAACCAACTCCTGTGGGCAGATAGCCGGGCATAGACAGATGCGTAAGAGGTTATGCCAGAAGTGGCTTTGCTAAAGATAGAAAACACACAGGAAGGGGGCCTCAATAATCCTGTCCAGCCTCGCCCTCATCCTTTAGTCATTCCCACTTTGGGCCTCACCTTGGTAGGGTTTGATGAGCGAATGCTCGCGCTTGAGGTGTTCACTGTTGCCATCAGTTATATCTGAAGCCACCGGGCCCAGAAACAGAATAAGAACAAGAAGTAGAGATGTAATGGGGCCAGGGCCGGGGCCGGGAAGCCCAGGCTTCCCCAGGCACCGCCGGCCCCAGCCCCAGCGCCCAAACCAGTCTTCCGCCGCCATTATTCACGTCTCTCGGCCACTTCCGCCGTAGAACTTCCGCCTTCCGGTGACCCATTTAATGGCCTCCGGCCGGAAACCCACCAACCTTCATATCGCCTTGGAGTAAAAAGCTACGTCTCGTAACCGAGCAGGAGGTGGCTCTATAGGCCAGAATAATCCCCGGACCTGATCAAGTTGTTTTCCATCTCCTTGAGAGTTCAGAGGCACAGGTCAGCCAACCTCCGCAATGGGTTTTTACAAGCTAAAAGAAACTCAACCAATCATGGAGCAGCACGTTAGGTTTGTGAGCCAATGGGAAGCTGGAAGAGGGTTTGAGCGGCCGCTCGACTGTCGTGTGTGAAGCGGGGCATACTGGAACTTGTAGTTTTTATGGGCATTTTCATGGGCTCTGAAGGCGAACACTGCAACACTCTATCTAGGCTGCCAGCCTGTCACAGGGTCTTCAAAGCTGCCTTTTTTCAGTTTGGGGGAAAATGGAGATCTAAACGGAAGGCGGAGGCCTGAGTTCCAACCCTCGCGCCGCCTTGGACTCTGTTAGTGGTCCTGAACAAGCCTTTTGCGTCGCCGGCTTGATACCTTTGGAAACCGAATTCCCGGTTATTTGAGGTCATCCACTACTGGAGTGTGGCGCGCTGTAGGATAAGCACTGAATCTCAAGGTGGGTAGTTCAAACCCACCAGCCGCTTCTCGGAAGCCGTATACGGATCGCTGTGGGTTGGAACCAACTCGACGGCACTTAACAACAGCAACTACTGGTGTGGTGTCTTAGGATAAGAACTCGACCCCCAAGGTCTGTTTGAACTGCAAAGTCGGCGGTCCAGACTCTCCATTCACCCCTCGGAAACCCTATACAGGGAGCCCTGGTAGCATAGAGGTTACTTGCTGGGTTGCTAACACAGCAGTTTGAATCTACCAGCCACACCGCCGCCGGAGAAAGATGAATCGGAACCTACTCAACGGCCCACACCCACCACTACTCCCAACTCCTCAGGCCCTGTCGGGTTGAATTTAGATAGTCAGGCAGCTGGATCCAACCGATCACTGTGACTCTGAAAGGTCCTGGACAACTGACTGTGGATCAGAGACTGAAAACTGGTGGCCTGCAGTTGAGATGAGCTGTTATCTGCGAATGCTATTTAAATACATAATTTTATATCCATTATTTTAAAATCAAGAGATGTAAATTAATATTACAAATCTAAAGTTCTATTTTTTTATGAAAAATCAGAAGATCTAAACACACCAGGCCTCTTTCACATAGGAAAACAAAGGGCTAGAAGTGAATGGTGGTCCCTTCTATAAATGTCTTCATTGCCTAAACTGGTCTCTACCTGACCCAGACCATAGGCAATTGAATGAATGACTATTACAATAGAATGGTATGCTCCTTTATTTAATTCTAAGAAATTACTCTTTGAAGGACTTATTGAGGATTTAGTGCTGAGACATCTTTCCTGAGTCATATTATTTTTAATTTATTATTTTACTATTCAAAGAATGCATGCTTGTAAACACACATATAATAACACCCATGAGAGTTGGAACTCTATGAGACATGCTTCTTTTTTCAGGTCTTTCAAGTTTTCCACCTTTGACAGAGTATAGTCTTGCCACTTTGCTATCATTCTCTACTAGTGGGAAATGTTTGCCTTTTCCTTAACAGATTTTCACTTTACATAGGTCTGGAGTTCATGGATGTGTATCAGGGGGCTTCAAAAAATTTGTGGAAAAATTCCATTATCTTTTCATTTCATTTTTAAGTTTTGGACTGCTAACTGCAAGGCTGGCAGTTTTAACTCATCAGGCTTTCTGCTTCCACGAAAATTTACAACCTCAGAAACCCTAAGGAGCAGTTCTATTCTGTCCTATAGAGCCACTATGAGTCCAAATCTGCTCAATGGTAGTGACTTTGAGTATATATATAAAACAAAAATCCTCACAATTGGACCAATAAACAACATCATGATAAAAGTTGTCAAGAATTTCATTTTACTTAGATCCACAATCAATGCCCATGAAAGCAGCAATCAGGAAGTCAAGCAATGTATTGTATTGGGCTTATCTGCTGCAAAATAGCTCTTCAAAAGCAAAAACATCACTTTGAAAACTAAGGTACACCTGACCAAACCATGGTATTTCTAGTTTGCCTCATATGTATGTGAAAGCTGAACAGTGAACAAATAAGACTGAAGAAGAATTGATGAATTTTAGGTATGGTGTTGGAGAAGAATATTAAATATGCCAGGAACTGCTAGAAGAACAAACAGATGTGTGTTGGAAGAAGTAACCAGAATGCTTCTTAGAAGCAAGGATGGAGAGACTTCATCACATATACTTTGAACATGTTATCCAGAAAGATCAGTCCCTGGAGAAGGACATCATGCTTGGCATAGTAGAGGGTCAGTAAAAAGAGGATCTGCAACAATTTGATTGCAGTAATCTACTCAAATGTAACAAAAACTGTGAAAATGGCACTCACCAGGCATTGTTTCATTCTGTTGTACATAGGGTCCCTATGAGTTGGCACCAACTCCAAGTCATCTAACATATTCACAATATAGTTATATGTATGTTAAAAGTCCTCTGCCTTTCCAAGGAATGTAGGCTTTCAGAAACTCATATCTCTTCAGACAAGGAACATGTGTATTCCACTAAACCTTCATGAAGGCTGGGATTTTTGTTAGGTAAGATACTACTCAAAAAGTCAGCAGTTCAAATCCAACAGTTGTTCCACAGGAGAAAGATGAGGCCATATGCACCTATAGAGATTTAAAGTCTTGGCAACCCTAAAAATGTTTCTACTTTGTCCTACATGGTCACTTTGATACAAATTTGGCTCAGTGGCAGTAGAGTGGGTAAGGTTCCTATGGGGCACAAATGGGTTGTGCTCAACCACTTCGTAAACATTGGTGGCTCAGACCTACCTGTGCTGCTATGAAAGAAAGGACTGATAATTTGCTTCCATAAAGATTACAGTCAGGAAAACCCTATGAAGCAGTTCTACTCTGTGACACATGGGGCATCGTAACCCAAGTTGATTCGAAGGCAATGGTTTAGTTTTTGGTTTTTATAGTCACTCTTAGTGTGGTGCTGTAAAGTAAGCACTGGACTTCTAATGCAAGGTCAGTGGTTCAAACCCATTAGCTGCTCCTTGGAAACCCTATACAGGGTCCATATGAGTCGGTACTGACTCAAAGGCACTTAACAACTAGATCCCTGGAGCCCTGGTGACTTCAGTGGTCAAGCACTCACCTGATAACTGAAAGATTGGTGGTTCAAACCCACCACTACACTTCAGGAAAACAAATGTGGCCGTCTACTTCTGTAAAGATGACAGACTTGGAAACCCTGGGGGGTGGGGCAGTTCCACTGTGTCCTGTAGGGTTGCTATAGGTCAGAATCAACTCAACAGAAGTGGGTTATTAGACCCCCAGCATCTACAACAGTGCCTGGCACATAGGTGGTGGTGGTCATGGGCCGTGGAGTCCATTCTGACTCATAGCCACCCTGCGTAGGGTTTCCGAGGCTGTAATTCTTTACAGGAGCAGAAAGCCTCATCTTTCTCCCGCAGAACTGCTGGTAATTTCGAACTGCTGACCTTGGGGGTTAGCAGCCTGACTTGTAACCAGTATGCTACCAGAGCTCCTATGCTCCTTGGCACATTGTTGTTGTTAAGTGCCATTGAGTTGATTCCGACCCACAGTGACCCTGTATAGGGTTTCCAAGGAGCTGCTGGTGAGCTTGCACCACTGACCTTCCAGTTCAAATGACTTTGCAGTCTGACACTTAGCCCACAGCGCCACACCAGGACAGACCCTTGGCACATAGGTGGTGATTAATAATTGGTGAAGGAATGAACATTTGTTGTAGAATTTGGGATTGAGTCATGAGGGACGAGTAGGAACTTACCAGAAGGAGACAGGCATTCTCAGTAGAAAGAATAAGAACTACAAAGGCATGGAAGAATATCTGAAAGCATAAGATACAAGTCATTAGGATGGCTGAGCGTGGGGTCAGAGGATTTAGCTGAGGCCACATCTCAAAGAGCTTTAAATCCCCAGCTAAGGAACATGGCCTTTTTCAAGACGGTAGTGGGGTGGGTTTAAGCATAGGAATGACAGGTGTGGGTTTCTCTGGCTTCAGTATGGAAAAGAGATAGGAAGCAGGTAACAAAGGTAGGGACACTGACTAGAAAGTTAAATGACACAGGGTGAAGTCTGAGCCAGGGAGGTCTCCACAGGGAAGAAGGGCCAGGAAAGGTCCCAGAGAGAGATTGGACACCAGTGACTGGCCCCTATGGGGAATCAGGGAGAGGAAAGTTGAGAACATTGTTTTATGAGGTGGAGGTACCACACCATCAATATGGAGTCGAGAAAACTAGATGCAGGCCAAGAGATGGGAAGCCCCAGGGTCAACTGGGGTCCCTGAGATGATCCTTTGGTCAGAGTTGGAGCTGGCATCCCTGATGGGAGAGGTGGGGAGAGGTATCTCTGCAGCAGCAGGCGAAGATGGACTTAGAGAAGTTCCCCGGTCGTTTCTGAGATTGAGCCCTAAGGGAGAGAAAGATGAGTTGTTAGAAGCTGGGCAAGACTCAAGCTGGTGGTGGTCAGGTCCTGGCACCCCATCACATACATTCACAGCTCAGTAGATCTTTAACTTGATGTTTACTTCTCTGAACTTCAGTGTTCTGTAAAATGGGAATAATGAGCACCACTCAGAAAGTGAATATGAGCATCAAATGAGACCATGTTGGGAGAAGACCCTGTAAACTGTAACCAGTAAACCAGCTGTGGTTGAATTGACTCTGATTCATGGCCATTCTCTGTGTCAGAATAGAACTGTGCTCTGGTTTTCAACGATCACCAGCCCTTTCTTCTGAAGCACCTCTGGGTAGACTGGAATAACCAACCTTTCAGTTAGCAGCCATTACCCATTTGTACCATATCATTTTCTATCAACGGAAAAGTCCCCTATAAAGCCACAGCCTGGGTCCATGATGCAGCAGACATGCATTACAACAATGTCACATCATACAATCACAGCATACACCCTATGTTACACACACATACACACACACACACAGGCACACTAACCTTATTAACCACCGGCACCAGGAGTCCTTGTGTAGTGCTGTGGGTTAATGCACCTGACTGTAATGTCGGTTTGAACTGCAAGGCCGGCAGTTCAAGCTCACCAGAAGTTCCTAGGAAACCCTATACAGGGTTGCTATGGGTTGGAACCAACTTGATGACACTTAACAACAACAACCACTTGCACCAGTGCTCCAGATCCAGTATCTTCCCCATCCGATAAGCACACCAAGTATGTCTGAATCTGTCTGGATGTCCTGGACAGAATTTCCGGAGAAAAGCGAGTCAGAGCTGGGAGAAGAGGTACATCAACTAAAGTAATGCTAAGAGCTGTAACAGATAGACACTTATGCTCCATTTGAGCCCAATAATGGCTCAAATACAATAGAAGTTTATTTCTCACTCACATAATAGGCCAAAGCTGATGTACTTGATTGATGAATGGCTTCCCTTCAGCATGAATGCAGATTGTGACTTCACTGTCTTCCCTAGGCTCTCTTCACCTTGTGCATCAAGCCAGCGAAAGGGAAAAGAGAGAATGTGAGGAGTACTCATTTACTTCTTAGGAACCTTAGCCTCGAAACAGTGCATGTCATTCCAATCACATTCAATTGGAAGGAACAAGTCACATGGAGCCTAAGACATTCAGTTTAGCCATGTACCCAGGGAGGAAGGGTTCAGGTCACCTCTTTAGAAAGGCGTGATGAGGTAAAGGATAAAATATGGATAAGCAATTTTGTCTAGTCCCTATTGAAATAGTGGTAGATAACTTGAGGGCTCTATATAAGCCCATGTTGTCATTAAGTGCTGTCTGGTCGGTTCCAACTCATAGCAACCCTGTATAGGATTTCCAGGGAGTGGTTGGTGGGTTTGAACTGCTGACCTTGCAATTATCAGCTCAGTTCTTACCCTCAGCACCACATCAGGACTCCATACTTAGAGTGAAATGTGAGCCTTGTAGCAGGGGCACACATGTGTAAAGAGGTAAACTGAGAATCCTAGCAAAAGGACCTGAGATCATCCAGGACTGGGTCAGTGCTACACCAAGATAGGACTGTTGTGTCTGATTACTGATGTCTCACCTGCTCAAGGTGTTGAGCGTGTGCATACCTGAATGCTCATGTGCTTGTGTGCAGATTGTGCTACAACTGTTGGAGGGGCTGTGCGTGTATATGACTGAATCCCCAGGTGCCTTCTCTGAGGAATGACCTGTGTGTCTATGGCATGCACACTTGAATGACTTGTCTGTGCATGGCTGTGTATGCAAGGTGTCCATCTGTCTGCACACCCGGGCATGTGTACGAGAAGAATGGCCTGTAAGTGCCTCTGTGTGTGTGTGTGTGTGTGTGTGTGTGTGTGTGTGGTTGTCTCTGAGTGTGCACAGGCCTGGCACACAGTAGGTATGAGATAAATGTGTGCTGAGTGAAGTACATGTATGGCCAGCAGGGCCCAGTGCAGTGCACATATGTCCACAAAGAACCCCTGCCAGGGTAGATGAGGATGCCTGGGTATGTATATGCACTTCTGTGTGCCCAGCCATGACCTTTGAGTTCCCTGAGCTGGGCTAGATCAGGCTAGCTCCTTACTGAGCATGGCAAGGCCTTGCTGTGTATGTTGGTGCCTGTGTGGGATGCTGCCAAGGGTGCGTTGGCGGTGTGTGTGAGTGTGTGAATGTGTGTGTGTGAGCGCATGTTTGTAGGAAGAGGCGTTCGCTCTCTTAGACCTTGCTTCTTTCTGTGGTTTGGTTTCTATAGAGACACTTCCTGTGGTAGAGAAAAGAGGTAGTGAGCTGGTGTTTCAGGATGTGAGGGCCTGCAGGAGCAGAGCCGGGCTCTCCACCGCCCTGCCTACAAGCTCTGGCCGGTACTGCCCCCTGTCCCCATGGTGGGCGCCCTCTGCAGCGGGGACCGGTGATCAGCGGCGGCATGCCAGGGAAGCCCAAGCACCTGGGCGTCCCCAACGGACGCATGGTGAGTGAGGGCTCTGGGCCAAGGCCATGGGGAGGGGTGGGCACACCCAGACAGAGCCCCAGAGCCTGCAGCTGCCAACAAGCAAGGGAAGTTGGCGACAGACAGCAACAGGCAGTGAGACTAATGCTCACACCCTAGGACCTTCCCAGATGGCTCAGCTCGGGACCTGGGGACCCTGGGAATGAGGTCAGCACAGAGTGGGCACAGCTTCTGGTTTAGCCCCCACTGCTCCCTCACCTGCTACTTTGGCACTGTCTGGGCTGTCTGGGTCCTTGAACAGCAGGGAGATGATGGGCTCCTTGCCCTCTGTCTACTCCTAGAGTGGCTTGAACCCCCACACCTCTCTCTATCTCAATCCTTCCTTTCTCCCCTCAAGTCCTTGGTGCCTAAGGTCAGGACAAACAGAGAACCCTCACTGGGTCACGGCCCTGCAGCTGGACCCACTCCAGAGACTTCCTCTGCCAAACGTGAGGTCCTTGGGCAGCCTGGTCAGCAGGGTTAGGTAGGGCTGGGGGGAGGTCAGCATGGTGGTGCAGTTTTACCTGCTCAAGCCTTCAGGAAGTGCCCCTCTCTAGCACCTTCTTCCAACCCCAGGACCACCCTCAGAGAGCCAGCTTCTTTATTCACTGGGCAGACTGGACCTCCTATCCTCTCTAAGCCTTCAGCCCACTTGGCAGAGCCCCAGCTCCTCCCGAAAACCCCAGGAATGCCAACCAGTGTCTTGGCCCCACTGGATTCTAGTGCCAACTTTGCTGTCCTTTACTAACAGGTGGGATAAGGAAAGCTCCTCTCTGAGCTTCAGTTTCCTGTCCTAAAAAATGGGGAGATTGGAACAGATCTCAAAGGCTTGTTGAGATGATTAAGTGGAATGACGAACACAAGGACTGGAGGGATCCATGTGGTGCTGTAGGATAAGCACTGGACTGCTAACTGTAAGGTTGGTGGTTTAAATCTACCAGCTTCTCCTCAGAAGCCCTATATAGGGTCACTATGAGTCAGAAACTGACTCGATGACTCTTAACAACAACAGCAATGTCCACTATATTCTCAGCCCTTCCTTTGTGAGAATTTCCTGATTTATGAAGAAACTGAACCACCCTTCACCCCCACTCTGCCTCCTAATTCCCAAGACCTATCTCCATCTCTCCTTCTTCCAGTATCCCTCCCCAGGCTGGCTAGGTGGGAGCGACTTAAACCCCCACAAAGCTGGCCCAGTTCCCTTTTCACTGTTCCCATCAACCGACCTCTGAAAGCTCCCAAAGAAATTATATTCCTTGAACTTCCATTCCCAAACCATGACTCTCAACTTGACCCTTCCCTCCACATCTTGACAGAGGTGGAACAGACTCAGGCCCACCCCTCTCTGAAGGAAGGAGCAGCTCCTCTGATGCCTAGAACTGCAAGGCAGCTGGGGGATCTGGAGACAGACCCAAATTCATTCCAAGTAGAGAGGGTGCCCCAACTTTTGCCCCTTACCTGTCAAGCCCATGGACATCCTTGCTCCTTCAAGCAGCCTTTTAAACATACATCAAACACAGGTTTATCTTTGCCCTTTCTGGACCCATTCTGGAATCTCTGTGCCACCTTTTGGAATGCTGAGACTCCCAGACTGGTGCTTGCTGGTTCCTGGGAAGCTCCTTGAGGCACTGCCTAGCTGGGTTGGGGTGAGTGGGCAGGCATCTCAGCCTGGCCTTAAGGACAGAGATGTGAACAGAGAGACACATGGGACCAAGTGTTTCCTTCTTTCCAGAAGTGACCTGTGAAGGAGGTTCAGGGGAGTAAATGAAGCGCAAGCAGAGGGCCCGCTAATCCTCTTCCACCTCCCACACAGCCTGGATGGGGTCCTTCCCCCTCACCCTGCCACCATCCCACCACCACCATTATCTCTGCTGGGGCAGCTCTATTTGTCAGCCCATCTTTCTGTCACTCAGCTTGTCAGGCAGTTGTAATGAAACCTGTCACTGAGAGATGGCTCCCAGCCTCCCTCCCAGAGATGTCTTCATAGAGATCCAACTGCCACTTCTTCACTTGTCCCTTTATTCACTCATTCATTTAACAGACCCTCCCTCATACCTGCTCTATGCAGGCCTGCTCCAGGCACATGGAAGCTGGACCCTGCCCTCCAAAAGCTCCCAGTCTAGCAAGGCTCCAAAGACACGAGTGCCAACAAATAGATAAAATGTAGGTTTGAATAAGAGCCACAGGCCACATCTCGACAAAGCCTGTGGGACCTGAGAAAGGAGAGCTCACTTTTCTGCAGAAGATGGTCCTTAAAGGAGGAAAGAGCCTGGCCTGGACGGGGTGGACACAGGGTGTGTGTGCAGGGAGGGGAGGCTGCAGTTAGGCCTGGAGAGGGGGCAGCTATTACGTCTACCACTCTCGGGGGGCCTGTTGTCTTCTCCAACTGATGAGGACAACTGTGAGGTGGTCACTGGACCCCTCTGGGCTGGGCACTTGTATACAAGGTGGCCACCCAGAGGGCCCAGACTGGGTGTCAGCTCAGTAGAGCTGGCACAGGATTCTACAGGGTTCAGTGGAGTATCCCCAGAGAAGGTCTTGGAGCCTCAGTTTCCTCAAGTAAAGATGAAAGGAGATGATGATAGAGTGGTCAGCTCAGTAACTCAGCCTTCCAGTGATATCCTGAGATCTGACCCCTCCAGCAGACAGAGTTAGCTGAGAGCCTTTGAGTCCTTCACCTTCATTGACCTTGCCCACCTGTACCCCAGGCTGAGGCCCTGTGGCCTCCAATCTCTCTCTGGTATGTCTCCTGTCCACAAGGGGAGGCAGCTCAGGTGAGGAAAGAGCTCAGACTCCAGTCAGGTAAACTTGGGCTCTAGTCTCAGTCATTTCCCAGCTGTGTGACATCTTTGGACCTTGGTTTGCTCATCTGTAAAATGGGGGTAATGTGTGCTACACAGGATAAGAAGGTAAGATTGGAGTCACAGCATGGATGTATGCTGCCAGAGAGCACCTGTCCCATAGCTGGAGCTAAAGAACTTTTGGGCCCCATACTCACCTTAGTATTCTTCTGAGATGAAAGTAGTTTCCCAGGGCCCCTTTCTGAAGTGTCACTGGTGACCTCCCCCTCCCTCACCTTCCTTCCCCTTTTCTTCCATTCATTCACTACTTCTCCAGCTGACTGAGTGGGGTGAAGCCATCCCTTCTCAGCACAACTTCCCAGGCCTGGCCATGGGCTCTGTGTGGCATTCTGTTTGAGCTGCCACCCTGATTGCTGCAGACCCAGTGCTTTCACATTTAAGCCACACTCAACCTCACCACCACCTGAAGAGGGGGAAACTGAGGCTCAGAGGAAGGACGTTCCTTGCCCCCAAGTGGTGGAGCTAGAATTAGACCCTACCTCACTCCACCCTACCACTAGATTTCTGTCCCTGCTCAGTCTCAGCCTGGATAACTAGTGGGACTAGAGGGACTTGGGGAGATCTGCAAGCAACCGATGGTGGGGCTGCTCAGGTCACAATGGGCATCCAGAGCCTGGATGAGTGATGGTGCTGTGCTTCCGAGAAGGGAGTAGCAGGCTGGATAGGAACCTAGGGCCTGGTTGGGAAGGGCTTCAGCTCTGTCCCTCTGCACAGCCCTGGAGGAGCCAGGACTTCAGTGTCCAGTGGCCTGAGTTCAGGGAGATGCCTTTCGTGAAGTGAACCAGATGGGGGAGGGCAAAGGCAGGGAGTGGTGTGCTAGTGAACCAGTTTCTTGCCTGACCGTACTTTGTACAAATTTTCCTCCTCAGAGACTTAATCCCAGGCTCCAGTGGGGAGACTTTACTCAGAGGAGCCTAAGGCTGTAAAACTAGAAAGAGACAGGACTAGGATTCAAATCCAGGTCCAGTTGACCCCAAAACATGTGCTCCTTCCTCTCTGGCAGGAGTCACCAACTCAAATGCCTAGCTGGGTCAGGCACCAATACTGCTAATAACAGTAGCAACCAACAATAATAGTAATGTTCCTCAAACACTTACCACCTGTTTTAAGATCTATACATATATTTATCTCATTTAATTCCTGCAACAACCTTCTGAAGTCAATGCTATCATTGGTTCCATTTTTAAAGGTGCACAGAGAAGTCACATAGTACAAATTTGAGCTTAGGCAGTGTGGGGCAGCCCTTGCCTACAAATAAAAGAAACATGTCAAGCAGGCCCCAATGGCCACTAGGGAGATGGTGAGTCCCTTTTGAGGGAGAGGGGTTACTGCTCAGTGCCAACTAAAACTGCCATTCTGGAAAGAAGCTCAGGGTTGCTGGAACATCAGAGTCTTAGAAAAGAGAAGACAGAAAGCTGTAGTTTTATGTACAATCTCCTGATATCTAGTATGAGAAATCCCTTTAAACAAACACAAAAAAATAACAATAAAATTCTTATGGCCAAAATATTTATATCAGTTGCTGTTATTGAGTTGATTCTGACTCATGGCAACCCCATGTGTGTCAGAGTAGAACTGTACTTTATATTGTTTTCAGTGGCTGAGTTTTTTGGAAATAGATCACCAGGCCTTCCGAGGTGCCTCTGGGTGGACTCAAATCTCCAATCTTTCTATTAGCAGCTAAACATGTGAACTATTTTCACCAATCAGGGGCTCTGATATCCTACATATCTGTGGGCTGAATTCAGCCCACAGATGGATACACTGTAGTCTGGGTGCTCCCAGATTACTATGGGAGTCAAGGATTTCAGCAAGGAATGCAGGGAGTATTCCAGTGGGGTTGGGAAGAAGGGGCAGGTGGTAGAAAGCTCCCAGAGACAGGACCAAGTGAAAATGTAGGAGGTGAGAGGGAGGGAAGAATTGGGATGACTCAAGCTCTGAAGTTGGGATCCCAGGTGATGAAAAGAAAGACGGGATGCAGGGAAGCAGGTCTAGCACTCTGCCTATGTGGGTGCAGAGGTGGATTCTATTGGGGAACTGACTGAGTTTGAGGGACTCATGGGACATTTTGTGGGGAGATGTTTGCAGGAAGTTGGCTTTGAGTGCTTAGAGCTGGGGATATGTGGGTGGAAGAAAGGGCCCAGGACAGAGTCAGGGAGGGGCAGAAGCTGTTCTGAGTGGATGATGAGGAAGTTGGAGGGGCTGCTAGAAAGGTAGGAAGAGACTCAGGGAGACCACTGCGAGAGTCATTTTGAGAGAAGGGTTTTTCTACTTCACTGAAGGGAAATTCCCAAAGACATCTGAACTTGCTTTGGGGTCAGCCTCTCTAATATTGCTCACTGTGTGGTCCATGGACCAGTAGCACCAGTCTCACCTGGGAACTTGCTAGAAATGCAGAGCCTCAGGCCCCATCCTGGATTTACTGAACCTGTATCTCTGTAAGTGGGGTCCTCCAGGTTTGAGGGCCACACAAGTTTGAGAACCACAGCTCTATACTATACATGACATCCTGTGCTCTGCTCAAGGTGTGGTGGGACCAGTGGGAGACCTGAACCCCAAGAAGAAACAGTTACAATGGAAATGCAAAGGAAATTAGTAGCTACAGGGACACCTCTGCTTCCCCAAAAACAAAGGCAAGCAATGATGTAGCACTTACCACGCACTAGCCATTGTCCTATTGTAGACTAATTGGATCCTCACAACAGCCCAGGAAGTGAGTTACTATTATTATTAGCACCATACTCTATTTATAGAGGGAGAAACAGAGACAAGCAGGTTAAGGAACTCACCCAAAATCACACAGTAAGTTCCAGAGATAGGATTTAGAGTCTGTGCTGGTACCCACCATGCTATGACTATCAGATAGCTGGTGAAGTCCTAGCCCACAGTTATTAGCACATGATATGAACAGGAGCCAGAAGCCATCTGAGTTAAACCCTGACCAGGTAGGGGTGTGGCTGGGATGTCCAGGGCAGCCCTCCAAGCAGAAGAAAGCGCAGGTTCAGCTCTAGGGTGCTGAGTGGGACTGTCCCTTGGGAATCTTCACTGGGCTCTGCTCTGACTGTGTACCTTGGGTCTCTTTTAGGTTCTGGCTGTTTCAGATGGAGGTAAGTGATGGATGTGGGAGACTTGGCTGGGCATGGGGGTGAGAATAGGTTGAGGGCACCCCTGCCATATGCTATCTTTCCAGGTATTGTACCTGGAGAGTAGATGGGGCTGGGCAGGGGTGGCACAAAGCTCACTTCACTTATCCATTCTCTTGCAGAGCTGAGTAGCGTAGCAGGGCCTCAGGACGAGGGCCGTGGCAGCTCCCTCAGCATCCACAGTCTTCCTAGCAGTTCCTTCCCCACCGAGGAGCAGCCTGTGGCCGGCTGGGCCCTGTCCTTTGAGCGGCTGCTGCAGGACCCACTGGGCCTGGCTTATTTCACTGTAAGCCCTAGGGTGACATGGGGAGGGCAGATAACACTGGCCATGAGCTTGGAGGGGAGGCATGGAGAGGGCATAGATGGAGCTGTTCTAGGCTGGCCAGGGTGGTGTTCCTCCGTCAGCCCTCAGCTAGCCTTTCTTTTGGCCCTCTTTCTCTTCTCCAAGCTTCCTTCTCTCTTTCTCTTCTTGCTTTCTTCTCTCTGCTCCTCCGAATTCCACACCACCTGACTGTCTGGTGGGCCCTTTCTGTCTGGCTCAGTCTCTTGATTCTGTCTCTTTCCCAATCTCGGGCCACATCCTGACTGGATGGCCGTGTCTATGCCTGCCATCCCTTTCATTTCCACTAGGAATTTCTGAAGAAGGAGTTCAGCGCCGAGAACGTGACTTTCTGGAAGGCCTGTGAACGCTTCCAGCAGATCCCTGCCAGCGACACCCAGCAGGTGGGGGAGAGACAGGCTCTAGCATCAGAGTGGGGACCAGGGCTTGGGCGGAGTTCGCTGGCCCTTGACCTCTTCCTTCTGCCCCTCGTCCCCAGCTAGCTCATGAGGCCCGCAACATCTATCAGGAGTTCCTTTCCAGCCAGGCGCTGAGTCCCGTGAATATCGACCGTCAGGCCTGGCTTGGCGAGGAAGTGCTGGCGCAGCCCAGGCCAGACATGTTTCGGGTGCCGCAGCTTCAGGTGGGCAAGCCCGGTGGGGGCGGCATGGGATGGGGGCCTGGCCTTGGAAGGAGAAGACTTGGTAGCAGAGGCCGGATCCGATCCAGGGCGGAGCTTGAACAGAGGGGAGAAGGATTTGGAGGCGAGTAAATGGACTGTTCTGGTGTAGCCCTTTAGGATAAGCACTGGACTGCTACTATAGGGTCAGCAGTTCAAAACCACCAGCCGCTCCTTGGAAGCTCTATACAGAGTCACTATAGTCGAACTAGATGACAGTTGGTTGGTTAAGATGTTAATTGGCACCCTGATGGCACTTCAGGGTAAGTGTTGGGCTGCTAACCAAAAGGCTGGGGGGCGGGGGGGGGGTCAACTGCTAACTACAAGGTTGACAGTTCAAACTCTCCAGTGGCTCCATTCTTAGAAACCCTATATAGAGTCACTAGGAGTCGCAATTGACTCCATGGCAGTGGCTTTGTTTGGGTTTTAAGATGCTAATAATGCTAATGTTAAGCCTCTTGTCTGCCGCGCACAATGAGAAAGATGTGGTAGTCTACTTTGTAAATGTTTTGTTGTTGTTAAGTACCGTCGAGTCAGTTCTGACCCACAGTACCCTGTATAGAGTTTTCTAGAAGCGACAGGTGAGCTCGAACCGCCGACCTTAAGGTTCGGTAAACCGACTTTGCAGTCCAGCGCATTAACCCACAGCGCCACATATTTACAGCCTTGGAAATCCAGTTCTACTTTGTCCTATAGGGTCGCTAACGGTCTAATGCAAATATAGCGCTTAACGCAGGAACAGAACCTAGATCAGAGGATCTTACTTAGGGCTTCGGTGGAAGAGGAGCTCTTGGAGGATGAGAGGCTAGAGAGAGAAGAGACGGGACCAAGAATAGGGGCGTGGCCTGGACCGTGGAGGTGGGGCATCAGGGACTGCAGAGGCAAGGGGCACCCAGTCAGAGTTGACTTCCGAGCTCGGAACGCTCCTTTCTACTCGGGATCCTGGCTTCTGTCTTGCAGATTTTCAACTTGATGAAGTTCGACAGCTACGCGCGCTTTGTCAAGTCACCACTATATCGCGAGTGCCTACTAGCGGAGAGCGAGGGGCGCCCCCTGAGGGAGCCTGGCTCCTCACGCCTCGGCAGCCCAGACGCTACGAGGAAGGTGAGGGCAGAGGGACCGTGACCGACAGGGACCTTGCAAGCAGTCTGCAATAGAGGACGCCCCTAGGTGCAGATCTACAGAGGTGTGCTCATGGTCGCATGCAGGTTTGGCCCCGGCCCCATGCTATCATCGCCTTCTTTGTATTCGCAGAAGCCAAAATTGAAACCCGGGAAGTCGCTGCCACTAGGCGTGGAGGAGCTGGGGCAACTGCCGCCTTCTGAGGGTTCTGGGGGTCGCCCACTTCGCAAGTCCTTCCGCAGGGGTGAGGGAAGCACAGGGAAGAGGTGGCTGGAGACGGTGTGGTGGGAGCTTGGGCCAGCCTTGGGAACGCCCACATCCTTCTGATTGCCCTCAGCGACTGTGTGAAACCTGAAATGCGGGTCCCAGTGACCACCACGTTGTCCCAGGTGGTTCGGTTCCCAGGCTAGTCGCCAGAAGCTTGGGAAATCCCCAAGGTAGCGACGCTTCCAGAAACCCAAACCACATTCGACCTCAGCAAGAGGGTGCTAAACAAAGTCTTAGAGAACGTCAACTCTTGGGCCAGGCAAGGGAAGGAGGGGCTGAACTTTCTCGTGCTCCCCCTTTCCCAGAGCTGGCAGGCGGGACCGCAAACTTGCGCCGAGAGTCTCAGGGGTCCTTAAATTCCTCCGCCAGTCTGGACCTAGGCTTCCTCGCTTTTGTCAGCAGCAAATCTGAGGTAAGCCAACTGCTGGGGGAGACAGAAGTGCAGGCTAGGGTTACTACGCAGGCCCTTTTTGGTGACCGCATCCAGCCATCCATTCCAGTCTCGATTCCCACTTCCACCTTCCTACTTAATCGCTCTCCCAATTCCTCAGCCCTCTTCCTGCCCTCACTATACTGAGTGCTATGCATATCATGGGCACACATCGTCTGTCTGCCCGTGTGTAGGTACCCATTGGTGGATCTATCTGCCCTGGTGTGCACATCATGTGTGTGTGACTCAGAGGGTGGGTCTGTCTCTGGTGCCTATATGTCTGCATACATGTGTTCCTATAGGAAGCTGTATCTTTATCTGCCAACAGGTGTGCCATGTGTGCCCTTGGGTGTGTGCGCATGTGTGGGCACCAGTGAGTGTATCCGACTCTGTGTAACTATCTGCACACCCTGGCATGTGTACACATAACCTCCCATCCCACCTCCTTCCTGCCCAGAACCAGAGTCACCGGAAGAGCCTTGGGAGTGCAGAGGGTGAGAGTGAAAGCCGGCCAGGGAAGTACTGCTGCGTGTACTTGCCTGATGGCACAGCCTCTTTGACCATGGCCCGACCTGGCCTCACCATCCGAGATATGCTGGCAGGCATCTGTGAGAAACGCGGTCTCTCTCTACCTGACATCAAGGTCTACCTAGTCGGCAAAGAGCAGGTGCGAACCTGTCCAGACCCCAACCCCATTCCTGCCTCTATTCAATTATGACCCCAACCCCAACTCCATTACTAAGGAGCAATTCTAATTTCAACTCTATTCCTTAGCATTATCCCAATCCTAACTCCAACTTCCCGTCTCTATACCCAACCCCAGCACCCACTCCTTACTTAAATTCAGACATCCACCCTCACCCCCATAAAAATCCTATTCTCTACCCCATACCCATCCTGTTGTCCAACTTCTTTCATCATCCTTACTGGGATCATCTCAGGGAGGTAAAGATGTAAAGTTGTCCCCCACCCCTCATCACTGCCATCCCCCCTAGTCCATCTCTGAAAGGGCCATTTGAAGGGAGTCTTCACCTCCTCATCTAACCCATGAAAAACTTTAGTTTGTGGTTCAAACCGACCTTGCAGTCCAGCTCCTTGACCCACAGCTCCACATCAGGATTCCAAGCATTAAGCATTAAAGAAGCATCTATGAAAAACCCCACTTTAAACAAAATCATCCAGGGGGATTCTAAAGGAAAACAGTTACAATCCAGGGAATTCATCAAGATTTCATTCACCCAGGAGATAAATACTGAGACCTTGCAAGGTGGTTGGGCAGAGGTAGCAGGACGTAGATTCTGCCCTCCAGGCCCACAGGTGAGTCAGGCAGGATGTCATCAGGACTAAGGTGTCAAATCTCCAGGGAGAGTTTCTAGTGGAGGGTGGGGAGGAGGGGAAGGAAACTAGGTATTTCTTTCTAGCTGTTCTGGGAAGGTTTCATGTAAGAGGCAGGATGGGGAGGAAGGAGTTTGTCTTCAGTGATGTAAGGGCAACAAAAAGAAGGAGCTCTGACAACTTTCAGGTCACCAAGGCAGCCGCTAGTAGCCCAGATGGGCCTTCAAGTCTGGCTAAATATAACTTCACACCCACACTCCACATGTCCATGCAGCGCAGGCCTAGCGCCTGGGAAAGTCTGGCCCAGCCGCCCTCCAGCCTCTGAGTTGGTGCAGAAACATGGGGCTTCTGGGAGTGGAAATCACAACAGTTATTGTTTATGTACCTACTGTGGGCCAGGCACTGTGCCAGATGATCTATGTTCCTCTGCCCCCTGGATGACTTAAACAGTGTGCACTTGGCTATTAACCAAAAGCTTAGCTGTTTAAATTCACCCTGATGGCTTATTTCCATAAGATCACAGTCATTGAAAGCTATGCAGCACAGTTTTACTCTGAAACACATGGGGTCACCATGAATTGGAACTAACTCGATGGCAGTGTGGGTTTTTTGGTTTGTTTGTTTGTTTGTTTGTTTGTTTTTGCCTTACAGCAGCCTGGGAGGTGAGCTTTTGTGCGCCATTTTTCAGTGAGGAGGCGCCTCCTAAGTAGGGGTAACGGAGAGAAGTGAACTGTCAAGAAAGCACAAAGCCTAGGAGGTTGACCAAAGGTGCAGGAGGAAATAATCCAGTTGGACTAGCAGGAGTTCAAATACCTGAGGGACAAGAGAGTAGCTATCTGGAAGTAGATTCAGTCTTAGATCAGAAGGGGTGGTCCCCAAGCTTTAGGACCTAAAGTGCCCCTTATTGAAGCAGTCCATGACCATTTCATGTCTCTCCCGCCTTGCCTCTCATGCTTCCCATAACTACATTCCTTCCCAAGCTCTGTCCAGCATTCTTGCCTCCCTTCTACCAAGACCTCAGGAGCCCTGGTGGCACAGTGGATTAGTTGTTGGGCTGCTTTCAAAAGGTTGGCGGTTCAAGCCCACCAGGTAGACCAAGGCACAAAGATGAGGCTATCAGTTTCTGAAAAGATTTGATGTTAAGTGCCGTTGAGTTGATTCCCAGACATAGCCACCTTGTATTGGGTTTGCAAGGAGCCCCTGGTGAATCTGATCAGACTGCCTACCTTGCGTTCAAACTGACCTTGTGGTTCAGTGCATTGTCGAAAACCGGGGAGCAGTTCTTTCCTGTCCTGTAGGGTCGCTGAATCAGAATGGACTCAGCAGCGGGTTTTGTTTTTAGATGGTCTCCCAAGACCTCGGGCTCCTAATCCAGGCTGGTCTTAACCCATCTGCACCCCTACAGTTCTTCTCTGACGTTTAGGGCGCCCCAATAGCGGCCACGTCAGGAAGTGGCTGTGGCTCTCTTAGACCCTGGGGGTTGCTCAGGGTCGGGGGAGAGACTGTAACCCTGCTTGGCGTCCGCAGAAAGCCCTGGTTCTGGATCAGGACTGCGCCGTGCTGGCGGACCAGGAAGTGCGACTGGAAAACAGGATCACTTTTGAGTGAGTACCTGCCCTGCAGCGTAAGGGCCACGAGCCCGCCTCTCCACGCTGAGTCACAGTTACCAGTCTCTTTCTCTGAACTTGCCATTTGAGATTGCCCAGTCTCTGGACTAAGTTCACTCCCCTAAATCAGTCCCACCCACCCCCCAGTTCAGGCTCCGCCTTCTCTCCTCTTGTCGCTGGTGGGTTGGAGGAGAAGCGTGGCCGGCTTTCCGCCAGTCCACAGCTCTAGGGTCTCGAGCAGGCTGGAGTTGGCGGCGCTGGAGCGTGTGGTGCGGATCTCTGCCAAGTCCACCAAGAGGCTTCAGGAAGCGTTGCAGCCCATCCTGGCGAAACATGGCCTCAGCCTGCAGCAGGTGGCGCTGCACCGGGTAAGCGGCAGGTTTGCGAGCAGGGTCTGGGTGGTGGGGAGTCGAACTGGCTGACATGGGGGCTGCTGACCTATCCCCTCAGCCAGGCGAGAAGCAACCGCTGGATCTGGAGAAGCTTGTGAGCTCGGTGGCGGCCCAGAGACTGGTTTTGGACACTCTCCCAGGTACGGAACTTTGGTCACCTAGACACAATTAGCCTCTGGGGACAGTGTAGACTCTGGAGGAAGTGGGACCGGGAGGGAAGCAAACCCGAACGGTGGCGCTTTCTGCCACAGGTACTAAGATCACCGACGCCGATGACTTATCTCCCCACCGCTGCCAGGTGAGCCAGGAGCTGATGCTCTGTCCTCTTCCACCCTCTGCTACGCCCCTTTCTTCTGCGGCTCTGACCCCACTTTCTTACAGGGCGGCCCTCCCAGAACCCCGGATAAGGCCGCCCATTCCCTTCCACTACCCTCCAGCTCGCTGGTCGAGCTGCCTGGTAGTGTCGCTAGGAAGCGCCAGACTTGTGACATTGAAGGTACATTGGTGATGGTGGGGGTTAGGGACCAGAGAGGGCGGGGCAGTGGTGTTGGGTTGGGAGTCCTTGAGAGTGCTATTAGAAAGGCTTGAACTGGATGGAGACCAGAGGGCCTTGGCTGGGAACTGGGGCCACTGGTGCTAGGATCTGAGAGGCAGTGGTCACAGTGAGGGGAGCAGGGCTCTGGTGGCTCCTGACTATGTCTGTGACTACCCCCAGGCCTGGTAGAGCTGCTGAACCGGGTGCAGAGCAGTGGGGCCCATGACCAGAGGGGCCTTTTGCGCAAAGAGGACCTGGTACTTCCAGAATTTCTACAGCTGCCTACCCATGGGCCCAGCGCCCAGGAAGCCCCACCACAAACTGAATCAGAGGCCCCGCCCAGGGATGGCCACTTGGACTCGGCCCTCTGACAGCTGCCCAACAGTCCAGGCCGGCTGTATCGTGCCTGCCGGCCAAGCATGCCACAGGTCCACTCTGCATGCCCAGTCTGTGCCATGAGTGTCCCTGGCTCCTTCTTCCCTGGGCAGGTCCCATGGAAGAGTGGGGAAGGGGTGGCGAAGGGGCTCCGGTGAGCTATACCCCATGACTACCACCACCTGCCCTCCCATAGCCTCTCCAACTCTCTCCTTGCAGCCAGGCCCTTAGGTAGAATGTGGGCCCCACCCAGAGGGGTGGCATTGGCAATACCAGCCTCCCTACCCTTTGCCAGGGCTCAATGGAGGAAGGGCAGGACCCCTCCTCAGGGAGCTGATATGGGGGTGCAGACCTGCAGCCTCTTGCTCCACTGATACAAACTGAACTGTCATATGGATTTTGCAGTTGGCTTTGGGGCAGCTGGGTATGTCCTGGATGTATGATATTGTTATTATAATAATAATTATTATTCTGTCATGTGGTGTGTTCCTTGTGTACCAGTCTGCCCTGTGGCCTTTCCCCCACACACTCCAAATCACACTGCCTCTGTCACCAAGGTCAATGCCAGGAGCTCTAGGGGGACCTCAGGATGTGACTCCTGACTTCCTGTTGTCAGAAGCTATGTTCCTAACTGCAGAGTGTATGATGTTTGTGTGTATGTGTGTGTGAGAGAGAGAGGAAGAGAGAGATGCAGCAAACGGAAGGAAAAAGTAGAACCCTTTGGGGAACCGCCTCTGCCAGACTTAGTGCCGTCCTGTGGTTTTCATGGGTCTGCCTCCATTATTGTCCTCTGCTTCTGTGTGAACCTGTAGTTGGGGACTGAGTGTCTCAAGCTTGACCACATTGCATACATTGGCAGCCCTGTGTGGGAGAATAGCCGTTGGCAGCTGCAGGGGACAGATTCTGACCCTTGTCAACTTTGGCTGGAGGGTCTTCCCTGTCCCAGACAGCCAGGCAGACTTGGACATCTGACAGGGAGAAGAAGCAGGGAGGACTGCCCAAAAGGATAGCCCCAACTTTGGGGAGGGAAGTGAGACTTGGGCAGCCCCTGTACTGAGAGGTAAATGCTACAACAGAGGAAGCAAAGAGACACAGGCACCTGAGAAGGCATGAGAGGAAGGGGATCTCCTGTGTTTCCAATAGGTAGAGCTCTCTGCCACACTCCAGGTCCTTGTGTCTGCTGTACCCTCTGCCAGGACTGCCCCTACCTGCATAGTATAATGTAATAGAGTTCCTTTCATTTCTGAAATCTATGGGAGGGCACAGTGGGTTTTGCTGACCCAACATCCCTTTCTCCAGAGTAGATCCCAAGCCTTCCTTAGGGGAGTTTCAACCCTCCATTTTCTGTGGCTATGTTGACCCCACTTCCAGGCTACTGGATTGGGTTCTTGACCAAGGCTCTTGGCTACAGTTTTATTCAGGGATGAATGGTCCTCTGACCCAAGTTGTCCCAAGCAGAATCCCAGTCCTGGTAATTTTCTACCATCTCCTGGGAATGGTGAGTTTGTAGAAAACCCTGCATGGAGAGAACCTGAATGTAAATAAAACTAACATGGGAAAGGAGAACTGAGAGACAGAAAGAGATATCTGACAAAATTATTCGAACACCTTTTCAGCAACCTCTAGGCTTTCTCATTAAGCAAGCCAATAAATTCTTTGTGCGCGTGTTACTGTTAGTTGGGTTTCTAAGACCTGCAACCACAAAAACCACCAGTTGCCACTGACTGTGACTCATGGCAGCTCCCTGTGGATCAGAGTAGAATAGTGCTCCATACAGCTTTCAGTGGCAATGGCTGATTTTTAAAAATTTGTTACTAGACCACCAGGCTTTTCTTTTGAGGTACCTCTGGGTCGAATTGAACTCCAACCTTTCAGCAGTCGACTGCACCACCCCGAGACTCCCCAAACCACAAAAATCTTGCTTAAATCAAGAGCACAGTGTAAACAGAGACTTCCTGTCACCCGTTAGAAAGCACACCCCACCTTGGCTCTATCATTCTATCCTGTTTTCTTTCTGTTCAGCATTGATCACACTTGGTGTATCTTGTTACTTTATATACATTTGCTGACAGTAGAATGTAAGGAGACATGGGAAGAGGCTTGTCCATCTTATCTACCGTTGTATACCCTTGGGTTTGTGGAGTGACAATGCCACAGATTCAGGTAGTCTCAGTAGGGACAGCAGGACAGTGTGAGCTCTGGAAAGAGGCCTGCTTGTACCAGGGTCACAGTCTGTGACCAGGAGTGGGACTGAGCAGATAAGCTCAGCTGCTACCAGCTGCAGAATCTCCCTCAAACTTCCTGGAAAATGAAACTTCTCCCTTGTGGGAGGAGACACCTTTATATGCACCCCAGGAGAGAGAAATGAGAGATGGGATGTCTCCCCAAACCTGGCAGATCCTTCAGATCTGACTCACACTTCACCTGACCCTGAACTTCTACAGATCCATCAGTGATAGCGATACCTGTTACTCTTAGGGGTCCCCTGGGCCCTGGAGGAGAGGGTCATGGGTTAAGTGGAAAAGGCCCCACAAATGCCAGCTTCTGCAGGAGTAGCAGCTCATATTTACTCAGGTCCCCATGTTAGACAAGTCCATCTTTTATCTCATTGTCCTTGCCACAAGATAGCCTGGTGGGGATGAAACCAAAGCTACAGGAGGGACAGGATTCTGTAAAGACTCATTGCAGGAGCTGCCCAGCACTTGGAGATATGGGCCTCCAGGACACAGCCTAGGGAGGGTAAGGAAGCCTTGGAAACCCCTGATGGGGGAGCCAATGCCTTCTCATGGGAGAATAAATTGCTCTTATCAGGAGGGACCAGTCCCTGGAGAAGGACATCATGCTTGGTAAAGTCATGCAGTGAAAAACAAGACACCCCAATGAGATGTACTGGCACAGTGGCAGCAGCAATGGGTTCAAGTGTAGCAACGACTGTGTGAGGTTGGTGCAGGCCTAGGCAGTGTTTCATTCTGTTGTGCATAAGGTTGCATTGAGTCAACACCTATTTGACTGCACCTAGCTACAACAACAACTCTGAGGGGGCAGTTTGGGAGTTTCTGTTATGGCACTGTGGGTTAAAACGTCAGACTGCAAAGCCGTAAGAACCGCAAGGTCGGCGGTTCAAGCTCACCAGCTCCTCAGAAACCTTATACTGGGTCGCTATGCGTTGGAACCGACTTGACGGCACTTCACAACAATTACAACAACTCTGAGGGGCAGTTTGGGAGTTTTTGTTAAATTCTAAGCATAATATATGACTCCAGCAGTGCCCCTGGAGAAGTACTCCTCCCTAGGGTCAAGAAGGCCCACCCCTGCAGCACTGTCTGTAACCCATAAACTAGCAAACAACCAAATATGGACAGAATAGTGGGGAGGTGGGGGAGAAAACAAAACGCCACATTGGCAGCTCCATGCTCTGGAATACCACACTGCAGACAAAGAATTGGGTACAGATTGTCCTGTGAGGAGAGTTCTCCAAGACATGTTACTGTTCAATGAAATAAAGCAAAACAATACAGATAGCATGATACCTTTATATAAAACACATAAGCCGACACTTAGAAGTGTACAGAAAGGAGAAAGAATGTTCTAGAAGGATACATGTCAAACTGACACAAGTGATTATTTCTGGGAGGTGACAAGACGACCTGGATTGGAGGCAGTGGTCAAGGAAGACTTACCCTTTAATTTTTTAAAAGGATGCAATAAAAATAATAATGATTCTTCTTTGTTACAGCCCCACTCCCAACATAACTGAGGCAAACCCAGTTCTCTCCTCCCAATTTCTGCACTCCCAAATTCCTTCGAGGCCCTGTAACCTCACCATCCTAGCTTGACCTGGCCCCACACAGAGACCGAGGGCCAGAAATGAAGACAGGTGAAGGGATACCAGCTTTGATCAAATCACAGGGCCAGGTTACAGAGCTACTGCGTTAAACCTGGACTCCTGGGTGGTTGGGAAATGTCCTAGGAGCTGCTTCTTGTCACCTATCCAGGTAGGAAGGCCCAGAGTTTGGCAGGGGTGTGGGGGAGCACATGGTGGGGCTGGCCCTATACACCCAGTTCTCAGCATGTAGGAAGGGAGAGAACACACATATTTATTGACCACTCGTCACCCTCTCTGACACATTCATTTTACAGAGGACACTAAGACTAAGACAAGTTACTGTGACTTTCTGGAGAATGCCCAGGAAACCCAAACATGACTAGTCCCAAAGATGAAAATGGGTGGGCAGAGGCAATCCCACTAGCCAGGGAGGCCACCTTGTTCTTCCCCTTTTGCTAAGAGCTGAACTCAGATCTCGGATCCCTGAGAGAATTTTGTCACAAGTCTCCTGTCACTCACCCCATCCCCTTGATGACTCTGGGGCTGGGGAAAAGGATGGTACAGGATGGACATAGGACCTGTACAGAGCACACAGTGACCTCCATTCTGGGCCGGGGTGGAACAGGAGAGGCACGAGCCACTGGGACTCACCTGGAGCCCCAGCTGGAAGTGCTGACAAAGCTGTGGGTCAGGTGTGCCCCAGGGCGGCCACCGCTATTCCCAAAGGTGAGCACAAGGTGCACCCACAGGGGGCCTGGCCTGGTAGTCAGGTGACTCTGGCTAATGAAGAGTGTAGAGGAGGCTGGAATTCAGATTCCACAGGGAAACATGGGCAGGTGGGAAAGGACATACAGAGTTGGTTATATTGAATCAATTGACTCAGATACAGTCTGGGCTTGGCACAACTCTTAAGGGGTGCCATTCATGTCTGAGGTGGTCCTGGTGTGGTCCAGAAAGAGTTGGGATCATAAATGTGTACATGTGTCCTGCAGGATCCAGATAGTGGGTTCTCTGTAGCCATCTGGCTTGAGAACTGACTTGAGGGTAGAGCAGAGGCACAAAACCAGGGAGAACCATCTTAAAACCAGAGTCCCACCCTCAGGCTAGCTGAGGTTGAAGATGGGGGAGTGGAATTAATCAGTAAGGTCACCACGGTCTTTCCCTATTGCT